AAGCATTTCAGATGAGGGATACTAAGCCTGTTTTGAATTCTATGCACTGATTCTTTCCCAGTGGGTGAACATTTGTTAAAGGCTACATTTTCCAGGTTACAGCTACCCTCTTGGTGGTATAGACCTTCAACTTGGGGCCAGAATACATGCTGTTCTTTTGCCTATGTTTTTCAGTTGCCCAAAACTGACCAGTTGCTTTTTTATTTTCTAATGAACTGTACTATTTCAACCACATTGTCATAGCATCAAGTCCAACTGGCTCTGACTTCACATTCCCTTTCCATTCCCTATTGCACCCCCACTTCTTTTCATGTGCTCCACGCTCTTCATCACTTTCTGCCCTTCCTTCCAGAAGCACTCCACATATCCTCAGACCTCTTTCCCTACTCCCATCCTCTGACTGGAATGCATCTCTGTTCCCTTCCTGCTGAGGCTTCCATTCCCCTAGTCTTGAGCTTTCTGAAATCCTCCTTGTCCATCTTTTCAGTATCGGATTGCAAAACCATTCCCCTGTGACACCTTCCCAGATCCTACAGTCAAAATTAAACCCTCCAGTCTTCCTGGCAGTGATTTTTCCTCTTGTGTTGCATGTGGTTTCCTTGTATCATATTTAATGCCCTCTTCTAACTCCACCAGATGCTCAAGTCCTCGAGGCAGGGTGTATCCCTCCAGTTGGCACAGACCTTGGCAGATAGGCACTTGGAAAATTCTTGTTAACGGGAATAAAATACACAGTTATTGAACATGATGATCTTGACTAATTGAATCACTAGAGTGGCTGCTCTAGCAGACGATGATGAACTCTTTGCTTTTAGATATCTAATTCTTTGTCCCAAAGATCCCAGCTCGAAGGTGTACAGAGCAGGTGTTTGTTGAATGCTTATTGGTTTGGTTTGGTAAAGAAGCCTATTAGTGTCAGCACTAAAGTTTCAATGTCCTCTCTGAGCTTCTGCTCAAAGGGTTACTACATTCTATACATCCAGGATGTATGTTGTTGCTGCTGCTTCCAAAATGGCTGAAGGGCTTAAGGACACCTTTAATGCTTTAGGTATGCCTGCCTAGCTTGTAATTGCCTCACTCCAACTTGCTACTCCTGATATCAGTTTGCAAGTCTTGTTCTTGGCCACATTGGTGATACTGTAGAGAGTGTCCCTCCAGGCCCAGACTCTAGGCTTTCTTCTGAGACTGCAGCAGGCTAGATGGCTCTCTGTGGAACCTTCAGGAAGTCTTGCAGTGTCGCTCAGCTAAATGCTCAAGGAAGCAGAGGTGCAGACTGAGTGGATCTAAGCTTCACACATGACCTGTGCCCAAGTGTTGCTTTACTAGTTCTGAAGTAAGCCTTGACAATGGTGATACGACACTGCCTCTGCCTGCCTCCCTTGAGTCATGCGGTCTACCTGATTTGTCAATCAGGTTCCTTATAGATTAAGCAATCAATGAACAGTGTGTGGTCCAAGCAGCCAAATTAGGTAGTAGCTTTCTCTCTCTGCTGCCGATACAATTCTGTGTCTGTGTTTAGGTTTCTCTTATAGATTGGACTACACGAAGAGACTAGAATTTTTCTTAATATGTGACTTGCTGTCAATTGGTATGTACAATATGTCAGTATGTACAGTATACTAATTGTCTAGTTAGTATATTTGTACATATTTTAACTATATATTAGACTGCCTAATAAAATTGGATTAAGATATCATGTATGTACATCTTAAAGTGAAAAGACAATTTCCACAATCCATACAGGGAAACCTTTGTGAAGAGTTCTACTCCCTTTCTCTGAAGGGAAAAGGAGGAAGGGCACTGGTGTTCATCAGCTGGCAATTTCCATGTGTCATTAGTGACAACAATATGTGAGGTGGGGTTGTGATATTCATATAAAGATAACCCCAAATCTCAGAAATTGAACATAACAAAATCAAGTCTCAATCAGGTGACAAAAGCCATCTTTGCTGCTGGTGGATGGGCCACTCCCTGCTGTGCCATTGCTTCTCCCTGTGACCACAAATTGTGCTCTAGTGATGAGGATGTTCAGGGGTCTGCATCCCAAGAAATTATTTTCTGCTCTTGTTGATGGATTCTCCAACACACCGTGGGCCTCAGGTGCTCTCCTGATTTAGGTGATGTTGTTTTTGGTGCCCGAAATGTCACCTTTTCTCATTTCCCTCATGAACTGCTCATCTAGCTCTTTGGAGACCTTTTCTTAGAAGCACTTAAAAATTTAAAAATCTGTATCCCATTTTTACCTTTACAGTTTTATTTCTTGGACTTTAGAATATGAAGAGAAATACACACATCTTGTGAGGCAGAATAATACGAGTCATCTGCTTCTCACTCCACTTCCATTCCAGTCCCCCTTTGAAGTAACACATTTTTTGAAATAACTTTAAACTTAATACACAGAGTGACTATATTTTTATCCAGACTCACTAATTTTTAATGTTTTTCCACATTTGTTTTATCACTCTTCCTCTCTTTCTCCCTCTCTGTAAAAATATTGTTTTTTGAAACATTCTGAAGGAGTTGCATAATTTATACCCCTTTGCATATTAATAATTTAGTTGTATATTTCCTAAAACTGAGAGTATTGGTCATAATTTCTCTGTAGTCTCCTTTATTTTGGAACAATTACTAATCTTCACTGTCTTTCTGTAATATAATTTATAGATTACAGTATGATTCAGAATTTAGGTTAAAGTGTCTGTATTATAAAATGTTTTAAATGAATTAAATTGTAATATATAAATGTTATTTTAAAATTATAATATAAATATGCATATTATGTTTTATAATTTGTAACATGATTAAAATTAGTAAATGTAAAAAAGCATTATAAATATATGACATATTATATGTAAATACATAATATATAATGTATAAATATTTAAAATGTATGAAATTTAATATATTGCAAATATGTAGTATATGCATGCATATATAATACACTTATATGTGTATACTTATATACATTTATATGTTTACTTATATATGTATATTATATATATGCAATATTATGACAATAGATTATAAAAAGTTATAATTAGGAATCATGATGTAATATAAACCAGAATAAATTAAAAGGTAATAAAAGTTTAGTGTTATAAAATACTAATATAAAATTTTATGTAGATTTTATATATTACTATATATGATATATTATTATTACTTATCATATATAATAGCATATTTATATCTGTGTTTTTACAGGATGATGTTGTGAGTTTGCTTTGTTTTCTTTTCATGATTATATTCAGGTTATATATTCTTGGCTAGAATAATGTATAAATGAGGCATCTTTCTCGGTGGTGATTTTGATTGCCTAGTGAATGCAATGTAACACATTATCTCCATTATGTAACTAATTCTTTTTATTTTTCTAGAGAAGTAGTCAGTGGGGAAGACGTTGAAGTCATGCTAATATCTCTCACTTCAGGAAACTTTACTGCTCTAGAGTTAGCATCTATTTTCAAAAAAACTTTAAAATTTGTTTTTAGGCAAACATGACAGTAGAGTATATTTTGACATATTGTACATACATGGAATATAACTTCCCATTCTGTGGTTGTACGTGATGTGGATTTTTTCACATACAAACATAGGAAATATGCCAATTCATTCTCCTCTTTCCTATTCCTCTCCACTCCCTTCCCTTTATTCCCCTCTGTCTAATCCAGTAGCTCAGTGGTAGAGCATTTGACTGCATCTATTGTTTTATTTGTTTTTGTTTTTGTGTTTTGTGATACTAGGGATCCAATCCAGGCTAGTGCACATGCTTTGCAAGCACTCTACCACTGAACTACACCCTGCCCTATTGATATTTTTGGTATTCATACTCTATCTAGCCTTTTCTTTTTGGCAGCAAAAATGTTTTTTTCACCTCCCTCATTTCCTCCACATTCATTAGCTTTTCAGTGAAACCAGAGCTCTCCTTGTTTCCCATCCATTTGCTTGCTCTGTGTAGGCGTGCACTTCTATATGTATCCATTCTTTCATCATTTGTATATCAAACAAATGGACTCACAGGTGTCTGTTTTCTGTGTTTATAATAAATCATGGTCCTTACTTATTTTAATATTCAAATTGTCTCAGGTTTGGTCAGTGGGAGCCCCTTGTTGCTGGCTTCTGTGACCTTTTGACTTTAATTTTTTGGGTCCTTTTTTATTGCTATGAGAAGAAGATAGAAACTTTTCTTGACTCTTTCCACCCTCATCTCAGTAATCAGCCCTTTTTCCAAGGATCTAATGTTCTCTTGAGTGGGGACTGACTTTTGGGTGTGCCACGAAGTTACTGTGCTACGGTTTAGCCAGTGCAGTGGCAGATCTTAGAAATATGCATACGTGCATGCACACCTGTACACACACACAGACATACACACAGACTTGCATATGCATATACACACAATTGCATGAACATATACTCTGGTGGAATGATTGTTAGTTCAAACTTATTCCCTTTCTTGCCCAAAATATTGGTTCCTCAGCTTACTTTTTCCTTCTATTCTATAAGTATATAAATATCCTCTGCTTCATTACCACTGTGGTGTCCAAAGATTAGCAGTGTCACATACTCCATTACTGCTCAAAAGAATATTTATTTTGTTTTTATGGTACTGGGGATTGAACCCAGGCCTTGTATGTTCTAGGCAAGTGCTCTATCCCTGAACAACACCCCAGCCCTCTTTTTAAGATTTTAAAAAAATAATAATAAATGAATAAGCTTTGATGCTATAAATTGATCCTCTTTACAAGAGAAGTTAAAAATAAAGTTAAGCATGAAAATCTTGTCACTTCTTCTTTTTCTCCTTCTGTAAGCTTATTGTTAATTCTTACTGATCAGAGGTAGTTAGTCATGTCAGAATTTGAAGAATAATATGTATTCTATTTTATTATACTATACTATTTTGTTACATTGTATTATTGATCTACAAACAAAGACATTTCTGTGAGATTTTTCTGACAGAATTTTCTGAGTTTTTGAATTTTTCATTGTGTTAAACTTCATAGGTGGCTGGGATTGTTGGCAGAGCTGACGTGTTAGCGTGTCTCCTGTTCCTGTTGGCGTTCCTCTCCTACAATAGGTATGTATGGCTCAGCAAGCCCTCCTCTGTGATTACAGCCATGCTGTGTGTGTAGAGGGAGCATCTGCTTGGAGAGAAGGGAGGCTTCAGGGTGGTGCTGTGCTCATGAGCTCCAGGGATAAGAACTCTCTTTTTACCCAATACTGGGCTGTTGTCTCTTCTAGCCCCATGCTGAACCATATCCTATCATTTTTAAAAGAGTACTTTCCCCCCAGTTCTAGAAATCCAAGCTCTTGCTTCTTGATTCCTTTTACTGGTAGTTTCTGCCTGAGAATGGAATTTGGAATCTTAGCTCTGAGCCAAAATATACTGGGCACAGTGTTCTATTCTATTTGCCTATGATTTGCTTAATTTCTCTTTTTCATTTTGATCCTGATTGTTTCTCCTCTTTATCATCCTCACCAAAGTAGCTCAAAGCTTCAAATAACAAGGCTAAGCAGAAAGTAGTGTTTTTCAACATACTTGTACAATTTATAATCCTTTCTTTGAAATACAGACATTCTTTGCTTTGGGAAAACAAAAAGCAATAAAATAATTTTCTGTTCAATTGTGCCTTTACTCCCCAAACCGTGAGATTCTTACTTGATTTGTGACATGTCTACATAGGGCAGGAGTTGAAAAGAGAATGTGGAAAAGGGTCGAGTGCTCAGAGTGTGGCCCAGGAAAGCGGGTGGGTTAGTCATGTCACCTTGCTTGGTGGAGAGAGGCCTGGTTAAGGATTTGTGAACTGTGAACTTTTGATCAGTTCATTGACCTGTGATCTTTCGGAATCCAGTGACTGAGGAACACTGTTCTAACCCAGTGGTTCTTAATTAGGAGTGATTTCTTTTCATTCCCCAGCCACCATTCCCCCACTCCCTCCAGGAACATTTGGCACTATCTGGAGACAGTTTTGCTTGTCACAACCCAAGAAGTGCTTCTGGCACCTAGGGGTAGAGGCCAAGAATGCTGTTAAATAAACATCCTACAATGCACAGGACAGGCTCTGCAGCAAAGAATTATCTGGTTGAAAAATGCCAATGGTGCTGAGACAGAGGAACCCTGTTATAAACCAATTTAGACCTTGGATCAAGAATGAAATGAATGAAGAATGAAATGAATTAGCTTTTTTTTTTTTTTTAAAGGGCGGAGCATTTTTTTAGTGTAATATCCATCTCCAGGTTCTGGCTTTGCATTCGCAATCATATGAACAGTATAATGAAATCTTAAAAAGCCCAAATTTAACAATGAATTTTTTCCTGTTTACTCTGGTGTTAGACAGGAATTACTCACTTTAAACTTGTTTCTAGGGCTTTTTGTGTGTGTTAGATACATTTGGGGAAAATGATTGATTAGTCCTGCAACCTGTCCATATTGGTGTGATAATGAGTAAGTTTTCTAAGATGCAATAGTAAGAAGAAGATGCCACAAGAAGTTTTGGCCTTTACTTCAAAGGAATAGGAGCCCAGGATTGGCAACTGTCAAAGAGAACAATGCTATTTCTTGGGGTCAATTGTATTTTATAAGGTGGAAAGAAAGACTTTTATACCACTACAGAATTTTTGAAAATTTCTATTGGAGATTTAACTGAGAAAAAATAACTTCATCTAACACATGCTTATGGAAAGTAAACTTAAAAATATTAATTAGTAAAAAGAAAATTAAAATGTGAAGAATATTTGTTTTTCCTTTCCAGAGAAAAAAGCTACTATATTTTGATATAATTATCTACTCATTGCTTTGTGTATAGAACACCTAAAAACACTTGACTCATAATAATGTGACGATAAACACTTGACATGTAATAAGTCATTTCTTCAATGCCCCCCGAAATGCTAGACTCCCGTTTCACACATAAGGGGACCAAAGCACAGGGGGTAAAATAACTTGCTCTCTCACTTCTTTGTTAACTGCAGAGCTGTGATTTGAGCCAGAGACCATGGCTCCAGAGCTCATGCAGGTTGTGCAGTAACCTGTATTATTCATCTACACTGTATTCACTCAATGTCTTCTTTTCTCTCTAACTATATCTCTATGATGACATTTTAAATGACTTTTGAATGTTCACTTATGACATACCATATTTTATCATAATTTACATCCATATTTACATACTATTACATGCCATATTTTATCCTAATTTATATGTACCATAATTTAAGTACTCAAATTGAGTACCATTACCTTTTTTTCATCTTAGTAATTTTAATTCCATGATGAATACCCGGGAAGAAATCTTGACTCACTTAATTGCTTAGGATGCAAAGAAATCGACTACCTTTTATCTTTTAAGGTAATATTTCTTAGTGACCCACATTTCTTAATTTAAAAGAACATCCAACTTGTTTTCCAGGAGTCTGGATCAGTGTTGTGCTGGGGAATGTTTCCCTCCCACGGCTTCTCCCTTCTTCTTGCTGCTCAGTTTGTTTCTGGGGACCTGTGCAATGCTGGTGAAAGAGACTGGAATCACCGTGTTTGGAGTGTGCTTGGTTTATGACCTCTTCTCCCTCTCCCACAAGCAAGACGTGACGTAAGTCATTTTAAAGTTCTGACATTAGGCGCTGCCTAGGGAGAGAATAACTAAAAACGATGGTTTCCCACTTCTGTTTAAAAAATATATAAGTATTTTGTCTCACCTTAGACCATAATACAATAAACATGACTTACTTCAAAAGGATAAATGCATTGTATCTGTTTAGCCTCTTCATAGTTTTATAAAGTTCAATAAAGACTATGTAATTTTGGGTGGCCCCAAATTTGGAATTGAAAAGTATCTTGGTTAATTGCAAGTTCAGACTGCTGGGTTGTTTTTGCTGCATCCTATTGAGAAAAGCTTGATTCACACAGGGAAGTTGCAAATGCTAATAGTTTTGACAGCTTGCTTTGAATCTCTGAATTCAAATGAGTATTATCCACCTAAGAGTACTGCTCACTTGGAGCCTGTTTTCTCTCTCCAGTAGTGACAGTACTTAAGAGTTTTAGGAAGTGCCTCTTAAAATTCCATGAAGAGCGAGTTGAAACCATATAGGAATACTTACATATCATTTTCCAGTTAAAGAACAAGCTTACCTAGTAACCCATTTTCATTTAAAAACTTTAAGGCACATTCATTTTATTCAGTGGTTTGTATATGATAAGAATCACTAAGGCATATTAAAACTTCAAGCACATACCATAATTTTCTTCCTCTATCAAATCTATAATTACTAACTTTACTAACTTTATACATAGACCCTATTTTTCAGTAATCATAAGTCCCTTATTTTCGAACTTTTAAAAATGTGGCTAATTTATTCTTCTGCCTTGTCAAATGAAGAATTAAAAAAAAAAAGTCCTGTTTCTTTGTGCCATTCCCTATCTCTTTATACTTCTTAACATAAATATATGAGCAATGCTATTGAGTGGCAATGGGTTGGGGTGAGTCATTTAATTCTGATCACCTTTCTGCCTGGGAGCGTGGAACTTGGAGATAATTTAAATACAGTTTCATTCTCTGTTAGCTCTCTGCAATCTCACAGACATATAAAAGGAAGGAACCCAGTGATCACTTTGTCCAAGCTCCCACCAAGAAAACTGGGAGCTGCAGGACCTGTTTGACTTAGGCGAGGATGCCTTTCCTCTACCTTTATAGCTCATGGGAGTAATCTCAGTTGCCTGCACCATGTTTCGGAGAACAACCTACAGATCCCTCTTGCTTCCCACTTCTTGCATCACCTCATCTTTGTCTCCAAACTTCTTCCTGCTTTGCCTCACTGACAACATAGGGCTGTAATAACTGATCACAGATGCACCTTCTCCTGTAGGCCAGTCCAGAGCTGTTTGCATGCCCTCACTAAAGCCCTTATCTCCTCTGGTCTTGGGATTCTTCCACCCTCTGTTGACTGCCTTCCTTTCTCTCTTCCCTCCTGTCATTGTTGAACCAAGCTTTTCTCAAAAAGGATAATTGTCTCTTTTCTTTCTTTAATAATCTGCCCTCATCATACTAACTTGCTTGAGGTTCCATGGAAGGAGTAACACTGATGACACAGTTTTGATTTGTGTACACAGCACATTTTTTAGGAACTTTTAGTCCTCAAACCCAGCAGCACTATGTAATTGGAGGAATTTATTCTTTCCTTCATGCTTTTGTCCACCCATTCAACCCATAGCTTATTCTGTGCCTGAACGAGAACAAGACAGAGTTTCTTCCCTCAAACAGCATAGAGGCTGCTGGGCGGACAGACATCAAACAATTACACAGGTGATTGATGAAAGGAGGTAGGCAGGATACGGGAGCATTTGACAAGGAGACTTGGCCCTGGGTAGTTTGCGTGCCTTGAGTGCTGACTGGGCACTAGGCTCTGTGCCACACCATTTGTTCTCAGCGACTGTGGTCTTCATTTCACAGAGGAAAAAGCAGGCTCAGAAAGCATCTCCCACAGCTACTCAGTCCAAGTGCAACCAGGATTGGACCCACATCTGATGTGTGGCCCTAGAGCCATGAAATGATCTCTTAGCACCACTGCCCCTGTGGAAAGAGCACAGGACAGGGGTTTAGGAGACTGCAGGATGTCCCTGCTCACGCACCATGAGATTCTTGACACCAGCTCAGAGGTTCTGAGCATTTGGAGGGTCATGAATCTCTTTGAGAATTTCATGAGGTTGTAAGAAGGCACACATGCACTGAGTTGCACAGGTCTTTAGGAGTCTGCCCGCTCTTTACTCTTTATGTGCTCATTTAGAATAAGCATCTTGGTGCTAGGTGGTCTTTCCTTGTGTTATCCAGCAGCAGAAAGAAGGAGTCATAGAAGTAAATATTGGAAGCACTTTCCTTTCAGAAGAGTAATCTATTCCTAAACCTTGGTTTGGACTACATGAATGGAGTAGGATTTCTTTTACTTGACATCACCTTTAGGAGGAAACATTTAAAGGAAAAGTTCAACCCATGAAAGTTAGCTTTTCTTTTCTTTTCTTTTTTTTTTTTAACTGAGGATGTAATTTCTAACATGTAGAAAATGACATTCTCTGACCTCAGTTCCTACCCTCTTTCTGCAAAGATAAACATAATTCTGAATTTGGCCCTTTTTATTTCTAGGGCATTATTTCTTATATATACACAGTGAATATCAAGTCATAGTATTTTGAAACTTTTCATGAATGATATCACTTTTGTTTTTCATTTAGCATTAGGCTTTTTAGATACATCAGTGTTGATGTATGTAGCTATATTTCATTCATTTTTACTGCTCTATAATATTTAATTATCATAATTTAGCCATCATTCTAATTTTGTAGTTCAGGATATCCACATTTATACTCTTATAAACTGCTGCAATGAGATTCTTGTACGTGTGTTCTTGTGCAAATACATGAGGCTTTCTCTCTGGCACAACTGTTGAAGTGGAGCTGCTAGGTCAGAAGCATGTTCACTGGGTCACATCCTGAGTCATTGCTTGTGAAATGACTATAGCGGTCATGGAGAATAACCTTTGTTTCATATTCTCGGCATCATTTGCAAGCATCATACTTTTAAATTTTTTTCCATCTGGTGATTACGAATTTTATCTCAGAGGATTCATAATAGAAAATGTAATAAGAGTACATCAGATGGCCCATCTATGAACATTATTTGATAAGATCATCATAATGTCTATTCCTGAATACCACCAAAATCAAATATTATGAGAAGATCATAGTTGGATTGTGAGGGGTAAAGAAGTGTGTGTGTCTGTGGGTGCCTTGGTGACCACCTACGGGGGACTAAGTTCTGATCTTCTGGAAACCAACATGATAAGCTGTAAAACTGATTAAAAGAAATAATAATGCAATTATGTTTTAAAAATATATATATGGTAGTAACTACCAGAAGCAAAGGGTTCAGAGACTTGGGAATGGTTGCTTCTAGGGAGTAGGATCTGGGGGTTGGAGCAGGGTGCAGGTGTTTTGGTTGCCAGCCTGGTCATTCCGTTTGACTTTTTTTCCCCTCCCTTCTGTGTACAATTAGGAGCAACGGGGTCATCCATCAGCACAGTCTACAGCAGCCTGGGAGCCCCCAGCCCTCCTCACTGGCAGCCCACTCCCACCGGGAGAACGGGAAGCAGCGGTTCCCTCACAAGGGAGCATGGGGTGGCTGCCATTCCTCACTTCCACCAGCACCCAAGAGCAGTGGATTCCCGGTGTCACCGCGAGCTGTGTGGTCCCTGATGAGGTACTGGCCTGGTTTCTTGGCTGTGCATGTTTTCAGTGTCCAGTATCTTATAGTGCCACCTGTGATGCTGGAAAATTAAAGCATTGAGTCAACTTTTTGAGATCCCCTTCTCTCCACATTTCCCTCCTTTTCCTTTCCTTCTCTCCCTTCTTCCTCCCTTCCTTCCTAGCCTATATTAGATTGGATGAGAAAGGAATAGCTAGGGGATGCAGGGTGATAACCTGTGGTCTGTGAT